AAGCAGTACGTACAAACGAATAAACTGCACAACATAGGAATTTATGGTGTGTAGTTATGACCACAGAGTACTCAAGGACTGGAGCGTTGACATGCTGACAGGAATCACAGCAAGTATATTCCCATTACAGTATTGTCTCTTGTTACATGAATAGTTGGTATTCAATATTACATTAGTAAGCACATCCCCCTTTGTTAAGCAGCCTTGGGCACCTTGAAAGGCGCTACATTTAAGTTATTATATTAATTATTATTATTTATTATTATGTGTGGGGCAGGCCACCTTCAGAATTGGCCTTCATTTTTTATCTCAACTATACACTTGTAAGGTTTTATGGCTGCATCTTTCATGATTGTGATGCTATCATGGTGACAAAATCTGATCAAAAACAAACACATTACAAAATGAGCTTGTGTTGTAGTTTCTGCTACTGTAGGTGTCTCTAAGACCATATTTTGCCACAATGACACAGACAAACTCACAATTTGAAAACAATACCAGCTACGAGGGATAAAATGGTTAAATAAGCTGTAGCGATAGGTTCTAAAACCTGGTATTACATGGACCATGGGGTTATGAAAGACCGAAGTATCAATAATCTCGGTACTGCCAGCGTTATTGAAGAAATTAGGATAGTTGTGTAGCATGACTACTTTTGATTTAATACATTTATGAAAATTAATACAAAATTATGAATTTTAATATTCAAAGAATATTCATTCATAAAGCTCTCGTTTCGCGGGGCACCACGAATTGTGTGTTGCCTATTTCTGGCAAGTAAGTCCCTGCCAAGAGAATTTACCCTTTAGATATGAGACTGACTGATTGATTTAAGATAATTGAACGATTATTAACTAACTGATCACTGGTGAATAATTGTATAGTTATTAAAAGCTACCTAGAGGTCCGGAGACTCTAGGTTAATAACAACTCCGGTGGTGCCCCGCGAAACAAGAGATTAATATTGTCTGAATATTCAAATTCATAATTGGGTATTCTCATAAATTTATTAAAATTCATAGCTAGTTTAGACATGCTACAATCCTTTGATGTGCGATAATTCAACAAAGAGGGAGTTCAGTTGCCATGGTTACGTGTGTGGGGGGCAGTTTAGGGTTTTCTGCCCTCCGATAGGCTGTTCAGGTGAAGCTAATAGGCTGTTCAGGTGAAGCTAATCTCTGTTTAGTGTTTCTTTGTCATTTTAACAGTCAGTCACCAAGCGTTATCTGGCTTTCTCCCCTTTCCAATAGTCTTGTGCTTTCTCGTCCCTCTCCTCTCTCCTCCTATCACTTCCTGCAGGTGTTTCTGGCTCTGGAGCTGTGGAGTCTGGATCTGTGGCTGTGGGTCACCTGCTGACCCCGTGTTCCTGCTTGACACCCTCTGCTACAACAACCATTGTTACTAGTCCTATTGTTATTATTGTTATTATAATCATTATCCCTATGATTATTATCATTAACACTACTATACATATCTATACCATTTTTCATTTAGTCATTTAGTCTATAGCAACATCACCTTTACTGTCTGTACCTCTGTGTGTGTATATTGTGTAGGCTGCCCCCCTCCCTCTTCCTCTCTCTCTCTCCCCACTCCCAACCGGTCGAGGCAGATGGCTGCCAGTTATTTGCTGTGATTTGTTTCACAGTAAGTTACTGGTCAATTGCTGCCAGTTATTTGCTGTGATTTGTTTCACAGTAAGTTACTGGTCAATTGCTGCCAGTTATTTACTGTGATTTTTTTTACAGTAAGTTGCTTGTCAGTTGCTGCCAGTTATTTACTGTGATTGTTTTACAGTAAGTTACTGGTCAGTTGCTGCCAGTTATTTGCTGTGATTTGTTTTACAGTAAGTTACTGGTCAATTGCTGCCAGTTATTTACTGTGATTTGTTTTACAGTAAGTTGCTTGTCAATTGCTGCCAGTTATTGACTGTTTTACAGTAAGTTGCTTGTCAAAAGACACCAAAAGAGGTTTGCGACTCACTAAAGGAAAAAGCACTCGCGGAGAGCTATCAATTTAGTTTATTGATCTAAAGATAACAACAAATGTATCAAATTTACTTATGGTAAATTTGTTTCCCACAACACACACAAACAACATTTGGTCGCTATTTCACTCCTCCTCTCTCATTAAAATACAAAAACACTTCCAAGTTGTAGTCTTTCCCTGATAGACACTAAGGGTGAGGAGGATCTAATTAAGATGAGGAGGATCTGATACAGTTTCCTAATATTTATATAACAGTTATTTGAAACAAGAAAAAAAGAAAATAGGCAAAATAACCTTGGTTGTCCATAACAACAACAAAAATAATAATAGGTTACCAATCAACTACTATGGCTTCAAAGGGTGGCATTTTACGCAAGGTATCGAATGAAGTCAGTATCTGTATTGGTGGTAACTTTGGGGGTCAGGGGGTCAAAGTGAAAAAAGGGAACTTCTACTAGATTCAAGTATATATTTAGAATAAATGACTGCATGAAGGGTTGGACATGCAAGATAACCTACAGCTTCACACACCCAAACGACAGAATACTGAATTGCCTGAATACATTAATGTTTTGATCAAATACATTATTATTATTATTTTACACACACGCGCATGCGCGCGCACACACACCCAATAACTGATGGAGACTTGACTGAAGGACTTAGTTTCACATTTGTGACAGGGCTGTCTGTATCAGTAAAGATCTATCAGCATACAACAAACTAATAGAAAGAATAGTTATCAGATGAGGAGCCTACCCTCAAAATGTTGAAGTTGCTGTTTAAGGCAGGACACTTTTTAATCATGCAGTGATCAATTTTGAGATTTTGGTCTATTTTGCTTTTACGTCTTCTTTTACTCTAATGGAAAGAACACTTCCAAAATACAAATTTAGATGGTGTTTGTTTTGAGCCTTCTACCCTTCATGTGTTTGCACCCGTAGATTTCTTCTAAATTAACCAAAACAAGCTAATCTGTACATTTAAACATAACATTTGAACAAAAAAACCTTACTCTTGATGTAAGTTATTGAGGAAGTTATGTGGTGATATGCTTTGGTTATTTTGTTTGTTCTATTCACCTGGAGTGTCCTGGCAAATGTGTGCAAATTAGCACATTTAAATCAGTTTTCCAGGTCATAAGGAAACCTAGTACATTGCAGGTGCGTTCTTCAGTGAACTAAAATCTTACAATGGTTACAATATCCATGCTTATTTAACTAATGTCTGCAGTCTGTGGATGATGATAAATCAAATGTATTACACCAGTTAACGGGTGCCCGTCAGTTCAGGTCACCAAGTATTCTGGAGCAAAACTGCCAGACCCTCACACACACAGCAGACCAAAATTTATGCTAAAACACAGACCCACACAATGCTGAACCAGAACCAAATTCACTATCATAAAATGCAGGCTGCATTATCATCTACAATTCCTTTCCTTTCCTCCGTTTCAACTTACTATTTTTTTTAGCAAATATCTCCTTTCCCCTTGCTCATGTTGACTGTAAATCCAATATAATCTGGGTTCAATAAAGCAGTTGTCATACACTGTTGGGGAATTGGGAATTGTCTCTTTAAATAATATTAAACAGAGTACTGTCTGGACCTGCTCTATATGCAAAGTCCGATTAGATGATTTGTTATGAATTATATACATTAGAAATAATAAATCTGGATTTTCATATTTACCTAGCCAGGTATAATGCTTGAATTCCAGAGTGAAAACAAACGCCATTTTATTGTTAAAGACTCACAAAAGACTTCAAATGAAATAATAAACTCTAAATTGATGACAAAATGTATCTCTACAATAACTAATCCTCAATTTCACTGCTCACGCCTATGCACCAGTGTAAACAATTGGATAAAAAATATGACATTTTATAACGTTAATTAAATGACAGGGAGCCACAGGATACGATGAATCTGTGTCAGCCAGACATGTATCCGGGCGGCAGTGATGGCTACAGCAGCGCATTTTGTGAGCTGCGCGCTTGCCCCTTTGCTGATTTCCTCCTTTTCTTCCTCAGTCATGGTGGTGGAGTTAGCCACTACCTTCATGAATGAGGAAGCAATCCTCGGGGTCAGAGTCCCCCGCCTCGGGGTCGGCAATCGCCGGGGACAGGGAGAACGTCGAGCCACTGGGAGACCCGTGGACAGAAGAGGAGGACGACCGGCAACAGCAGGCTGAGGACTTCATCCAAGGAGTGAGTGGGCTTCCACACCTCTTCCTGCTGAACGGTGAAATCATCGGGCAGCCGGTCATCGGGGGTAAGGAGGGCGCAGAACGGCATTGTGAACTGGGAGTGAGTGCTCCGGGCCGAGACACGCCTCGCAGCGAGGATGGAGATCCCCGGGCATGATATCCCATGTGACAGACGCTGCACACCTGTACGGAAGGAGCGGCACCTCACCCTGGGCCGGTAAGCTTGCGGGCAGACATTTTTCTCTTTAATCTTCTTCTCTTTAGAATAGCTCTTAAGACAGCTCAGTGCTGAAGAAAATTGTGAGCCGATGGCTGGGTCTCACCGTTGTTTATATACAAGGTGTGGACGTAGGACAGGCCCACGCTGTGGGTGGCCGTAGGCAAAATGTATCAGTGCCGCGCAGGCACGTGTAGGGGTAAACCCAATAGCGATGGCCCACTGTCTTCTGATTGGCCAAGACCTGAAGCATGTTACCAGGCTGTTGTTGTTGCTGGGCAGAACAGGCAGACTGAGCCATTGCGGGACCGTTGCTATGACCATATATGGAACACCAGCTCCTTCTTGCTCGGTAATACATAGAACGGAGCTCTTGGTAGAAAAAGCAGTTCAAAACAGAGCGTTCAGAACAGGAGGAAATCTGAGATTTTTGCTCACAGGGATTTCTTTTAAAAGCTTTAACCTCATTTTTTGAAGCTTTGGTCATGTTTAACATGAACATCCAACATTGTAGATGTCATAAAATGTGGAAAAGCATAATAGGTCTCCTTTAATAACCTGCTCCTAATCATCATTATTACTTACATCAGGTTGTTGTATTTTAGATGATGTTGTTGGCGTAGTCGTGGAACCGGTTATTGTTGGTGTAATGGGGGGACTTCCACCAGTTCCGGTATTAATGAAGGTCAGGGCAGGACTTGTAACATCAACCCAGAAGGTCTTGAAATCCTGCACGAAGGATGCACTGCAGATACAGCAAAACCAGTTTTTATGAATCAAGTTAGAAACACATAGAGATTATGCAGAGTAATGGTTCACTTTTCTGAACCACTTGAGCATGGCATGACATAGAAAAGAACAGAATGGAATAGGACAAAATTATTGAATTCAACCTTACTGGAACTGAATTGGTTTTGAGTTTGCTGTCGCTTCTGATGTCCATGTCACCTGAACGGAGGTCTTACTAGAACTTGATCTGTGGGATACAGCTGAGTTCTGGACGCACAGACGCGCGCACACACACACACACACACACACACACACACACAGAAAGAGGGAGAACAAGAGAAAAGGAGGTCATCTGTTCCATCTGAAGGTTTTCCACCATATTGTTGCCATATTATGCTACGTCTATTTTCTGCTGTTTTTACAAATGTAACTACATTGTTTATTGGGCTCTGAGCACTGCTCTCTGGACAACACTGAAATGCAATGCACCTCATTAGTTTGTTTTATTTATGTTGTGATTTGATTTTAATGTGACATGGATTGTTCATGTCAAAATGAAAATCATATCATTTAGTTACCACTTAACATTCCCACCCATGGGCCGTCAGGTTCTGGCGGCAGCTTTCAGTATGTGCACACAACTGCTATGTTAGCTTCATATTCATATGACACACCATTTGAAAGCTAAAACCCTCGTGATTCGACCAATGCAAACCATTTCAAGATACAAAGCCCAGAGCGGATACAATAAGTGCTTCTTTCAGACCAACCAGTACAAGCAAAATTGACACGACTCACCTATGAAGCCTCATATCAATCCACCTATCGATTATATTCCAACAAAATGGTCTTGTTACATTGTCAGAGGTCCAGATGATCCAATCCAGTACAAATATTTAGTCCAAAACACATTTTTCCATCAATAAAACCCCAGGGACTGCTGCCGCATTGTTTCATATTTGCCGGCAGACGTGGCTCGTATGTCATTAAAACCGTAATAACGCTTCTATTCAAATTAGTCCCAATATCCACACTACGCCCTAAGGTCTGCCTCGAAGTGGACACTTGTTTAAAGTGCACTTAGCGGAGTAAGTGCGCAAGGGCCCTGTGAAGCTGTGAAGAGCAGAATTGGGACATTTTTGCACATGTCACTATCTACGTCACTTATGCTGTGATCAGGAGAGCAAACATGGCGCTGGCAACTTCCATTTAAATTTGTTATACCCAATAAAGTGAAAGAAATGCATTACAATATCGCGCCTAACATATACCCTACTAACCAAATGTTGTCAAAATTTATAGATATTGATCAAAAATGTGAATTCTGCAAAGATGAAGACGAGACAATTCTGCACTTATTTTTTGAGTGTCAATACTGATACACATTGGGATTCTGGGAAAAAAATATGGATTACTTTGTCAAACTAATCATTTAATCAAACTAGAAGCCAAGGATGTAATACTACACTATTTTAAAGTTAAAGTTAAAGTTTATTAAAAGTGTAAAATCACCAGCTGTGTGGTCCCAATACACTTTACAGAAAACACACATTGAATTTGCAGAAAATGTTAACACATAAGAAACACACATTAAAAAACAACAATAAAATAGACAATTATAAAACTAATAATAAATACAATAAAATAAAATAGACAAATAAAATGTATAAAAAAATTCATAAAATACCGTAGCCCAAACTATAAGCCTTCTCACAAAATACAGAAAAACCATCCCTCGCTAAAAGCTTTACTAAAAAGAAAAGTTTTTAGCCTACTCTTAAATATGGAAATGTTGGTTGCTTCCTGAACCCAGACAGGGGTCTGATTCCACAGCTGAGGTGCCTGATGGCTAAAGGTTCTGGCTCCTATTCTACATCTGGAGATCCTAGGCACTACAAGTAGCCCTGCATTTTGGGAACGCAGTGTTCTAGTGGGGCAGTATGGTTTAAGGAGTTCTTTTAAATAAGATGGTGCCTGACCATTAAGGGCTTTGTATGTAAGAAGAAGTATTTTAAAATCAATTCTCAAATTTACCAGGAGCCAGTGCAAAGTTACTAAAACAGGGGTGATATGATCTCTCCTGCTGGTTCTTATCAGTATGCGTGCAGCAGCGTTTTGTATTAACTGGAGAGATTTAAGAGATTTTTTTGAGCAGCCTGAAAGTTACAGTAGTCAAGCCTTGAGGTAACAAATGCGTGAACAAGTTTCTCTGCATCATCTCGATGCAGAAGGTTTCTAATTTTAATATTGCGAAGGTGAAAATAGGCAGTCCTTGTAGTTTGCTTTATGTGTGCGTTGAAAGACAGGTCTTGATCAAAAGTAACTCCCAGATTCCTCACGGTGGTGCTGGAGGCCAAGGCAATGCCATCGAAGGCAACTATGTCTGCAGACAATGTGTCTCGGAGGAGTTTGGGTCCAAGTACTACAACCTCAGTTTTTTCAGAGTTCAACATCAAGAAATTATAAGACATACAGGTCTTCAAATCCTTAATGCACATTTGAAGCCTAGCTGACTGGTTGGTTTCATCAGGTCTGATAGAAAGGTATAACTGAGTGTCATCAGCATAACAATGAAAGTTTATACTGTGGTTCCTAATGATATTACCTAGCGGAAGCATATACAAGGTGAATAATATAGGTCTAAGGAAGGAAAGACTTATTGTTTACATGTACAAACTGCAGATAAGATAAGTAGGATTTAAACCAGCTTAAAGCAGTTCCTTTAATGCTGATTAAGTGTTCAAGTCTCTGTAGTAAAATATGGTGATCAATTGTATCAAATGCCGCACTTCGATCTAATAAGACTAATACAGAGACTAGTCCCTTATCTGATGCTGTTAAAAGATCATTAGAAATTTTTACCAGTGCTGTCTCTGTACTGTGATGCATTCTGAAACCTGACTGAAATTTTTCAAATAAGTTGTTGCTATGCAAAAATTCACAGAATTGATTTGCCATGATTTTTTCAAGGATCATGGATATGAAAGGAAGGTTAGATATCGGTCTGTAACTGTCTAAAGAAGTCTAGAAGTGTTTCGACCTTTTGCCACATTTCAGGCTTCAAACATAAAGATATAAAACTGTAATTTTTTGTGAAGATCAACAACAAGTGGGACACAATCATGAAGTGGAACGAAATTTATTGGATATTTCAAACTTTTTTAACAAATAAAAAACTGAAAAATTGGGCGTGCAAAATTATTCAGCTCCCTTAAGTTAATACTTTGTAGCGCCACCTTTTGCTGCGATTACAGCTGTAAATCGCTTGGGGTACGTCTCTATCAGTTTTGCACATCGAGAGACTGAAATTTTTGCCCATTCCTCCTTGCAAAACAGCTCGAGCTCAGTGAGGTTGGATGGAGAGCGTTTGTGAACAGCAGTTTTCAGTTCTTTCCACAGATTCTCGATTGGATTCAGGTCTGGACTTTGACTTGGCCATTCTAACACCTGGATATGTTTATTTGTGAACCATTCCAGTGTAGATTTTGCTTTATGTTTTGGATCATTGTCTTGTTGGAAGACAAATCTCCGTCCCAGTCTCAGGTCTTTTGCAGACTCCATCAGGTTTTCTTCCAGAATGGTCCTGTATTTGGCTCCATCCATCTTCCCATCAATTTTAACCATCTTCCCTGTCCCTGCTGAAGAAAAGCAGGCCCAAACCATGATGCTGCCACCACCATGTTTGACAGTGGGGATGGTGTGTTCAGGGTGATGAGCTGTGTTGCCTTTACGCCAAACATAACGTTTTGCATTGTTGCCAAAAAGTTTGATTTTGGTTTCATCTGACCAGAGCACCTTCTTCCACATGTTTGGTGTGTCTCCCAGGTGGCTTGTGGCAAACTTTAAACGAGACTTTTTATGGATATCTTTAAGAAATGGCTTTCTTCTTGCCACTCTCCCATAAAGGCCAGATTTGATAGTCTCCCACCTCAGCTGTAGATCTCTGCAGTTCATCCAGAGTGATCATGGGCCTCTTGGCTGCATCTCTGATCAGTCTTCTCCTTGTATGAGCTGAAAGTTTAGAGGGACGGCCGGGTCTTTGTAGATTTGCAGTGGTCTGATACTCCTTCCATTTCAATATTATCGCTTGCACAGTGCTCCTTGGGATGTTTAAAGCTTGGGAAATCTTTTTGTATTCAAATCCGGCTTTAAACTTCTCCACAGCAGTATCTCGGACCTGCCTGGTGTGTTCCTTGTTCTTCATGATGCTCTCTGCGCTTTAAACGGACCTCTGAGACTATCACAGAGCAGGTGCATTTATACGGAGACTTGATTTCACACAGGTGGATTCTATTTATCATCATTAGTCATTTAGGTCAACATTGGATCATTCAGAGATCCTTACTGAACTTCTGGAGAGAGTTTGCTGCACTGAAAGTAAATGGGCTGAATAATTTTGCACGCCCAATTTTTCAGTTTTTTATTTGTTAAAAAAGTTTGAAATATCCAATAAATTTCGTTCCACCTCATGAGTGTGTCCCACTTGTTGTTGGTTCTTCACAAAAAATTACAGTTTTATATCTTTATGGCAAAAGGTCGAAAAGTTGAAGGGGGCCGAATACTTTCACAAGGCACAGTACATAGCATGTTGTTAAAGAAAGGTTGATAATATTTAACAAACAAGTACCAAATGATGGCAAAACCTCTTTGAGCAGTTTGGTTGGGATGGCGTCTGTGAGGCAGGTCGTTGGTTTGCACGAGGACACAACTGAAGTAAGTTGCTGAAGGTTGATGGTCGCAAAACAGTCCAAATATCCATTGAGTTTAAAATGTGCTTCCGAAGAGACTAAGGGCAGGTCGGCATCCATTGAAGACAGGAGGTGCTGAATTTTATTTCTAATAACAAAAATTTTGTTGTTAAAATGGTTCATAAAAATGTCACTACTGAGGTCAAGAGGGACACCTTGTTCCTTAGAGCTGTGACTTCCCGTCAATCTGGCTACAGTGTTGAAGAGGAACCTGGGATTGTTCTTATTTTCCTCTATTAATTTTGAGCAGTAAGTTGCTCTGGCGCTGCGGAGGGCCTTCCTATACATTTTCAAACTATCCTGCCACATTAAATGAGAATCTACTTGATGTGTAAGACGCCATTTCCTCTCAAGTTTCCGTGTTGTTCTCTTTAACTTGCGTGTTTGACTGTTGTACCATGGAGCTAGTCTTCTATGTTTAATCATTTTCTTTTTCAAATGAGCAACAGTTTCAAGTGTCATTCAGATCAGTCCTGCAGTGCTGTCCACGAGATGATCGATTTGTGAAGGATCAATTTGTGATGGATGGACGTTAGCATAGGAAGCTTTATGAGACACGTAATTGAGGTACACACTGATGCAATAGAATCCTTAAACTTAACTACAGCACCATCAGATAGCGATCTAGTATAGGCACTAAATTATACTATAAAAACAAAAATTAAAAAATCTGTAAAATGGTTAACTTACTCATCTTATTATGTAAGTACCACATCCATAAGATGTGGTACTAAGTTCTCAAGATCATTCGAATTATTTAGAACAGAATTGAGAATGTATTGTGAGTCTATCCAATTTATAAATGACAATAAATGTGCCTATTGAATTAATTTTGTTACGGGAACTATTTATAGAAATGTAATCTTTATACTGCCTTTTTGCACCTTATTTTTCTCTACATTTATATTTTCATTTGTTATTCCTATAGTTTATATTTTCCTTAAATTATTTACCAGAATGTTTATGATGTTCCCCTTCGAGGGAACTCGAACTGCGTCGGTGACGACACTATGGGAACGCCTCTGGGCTGAACTATGAATGAAACTACTCCAATCCGCACGCCCAGGCAGCTCTCGAGGGGGCTGCCTGCGGCCACGGCGAGGCCCGGTCCCAGAGGGTGCTGAGGTCTAGTGCGGCTCTCTTTCGGAAGATGGTCGGATGTGCTCTCCCCGTGGCTCAGGCCCCACGGTTGCTGAAGCGTTGCGGTGGCTACGGTCATGGGGATTGCAGCGTGAAATCTCCGAGGGCGTCGGGACGGCTGAGGCCTTTTTCCATTCCTTGTCTGCTGACTCCGCCTCCTCTCTTCCCCGTTCCTGATTTACACAATGTGTTGTGTAAATCTTGGAACAGACCGAGAAAAAAGAAAAAAAGAAAAGAGAGCTGCTCTGCACGGCTGACTGCGTCCCCTCTGCTGGACTACGGCAGCGTGACAGAAACTAAGCAGCACACCTTTGGAACGATGCCTCGGGTGGAGGAAGCACTCGCGAGCTATCTTTCTCCCACCCTCGCTTCATTCCTTCAGACGCCGGCGCTCCCCACCAAGCCGTGTCGGATGACATCCGCTTTGGTGGGCAAGGCCTACATGGCAGCGGGTCGAGCTGGTGCAAGCCTGCACACCATGGCCACCTTGCAGGCGTACCAGGCCGATCTTCTCAAAGACTGTGACCTAGTGGGAGGTCCCTCTGAGCATCCGCGTACTGCTACATCGACGACTGGCTTGTCCTGGCCCAGTCGCGAGAGTTAGCGATTCGGCATCGAGATACCGTCCTCGCCCACCTTCAGCGTTTGGGGCTGTGGCTCAACGCGAAGAAGAGCATGCTGACGCCCGCCCAACAGACTACGTTTCTAGGGGTGGTGTGGGACTCATCGACGATGCGTGCCCACTTGTCTCCCACACGCATCGAGCCTGTTTTATCCTCAGTGACCAGATTGCAGTTAGGCCGCGCCATCACTGTAAAACACTTTCAGAGGGTGTTGGGTCTCCTGGCAGCAGCGTCCAGTATAATACCTACTGGTGGTTTTGTATGTTCAACGATGGAAGATACTCACACATAGGCCTACCTGTTGTGATGCCTAACCTTGTTAACTTGTTGTGAACCAAATAAAGTTTTTCATGAAAAAAAAAAAACAAACCTGGTGCTGGCCGCAGGTGCGGTATTCACGGTACTCCTGCTAAAATTGATCACAACTCACCACCAGTTTCTTACCAGAAGAATTAGGTATATTCTGAACAAAAACGATTTTCACTTACACTTAAAAAGAAATGTTGTCTTCATTTGTTTACGCTCTTGCCGGCTTCCTTCTTCTTTGGAGTTTTCCCGGTGTCCGACCAGCACCATAGCAACCGTTTTGCTCTCCCATTGGTTAGCTGTTTGAAACGTCACGACACTACAAGGATTCTGGGTAACAGCCCATAGCAAAGTGAGGTCTGATGCGCACTTGCGAAAGGGGTGCATTAAGTGATCACCCCTGGAGAACAACATTAGAGGTTAGATTTTCCCCTCTCCTTTATTGAGTTATATCTCTTTTTTGTGCATGTCATAGGTTTGGAAAGTGAAAACGCCCAAAGTCCAGCCCAAAGGGAGTTCCCATCTCCCACAGAAAGCACTGCTCTGAACTGCTTGAAAACAGCTCGTTTGCAGTCCAGCTGTTTCCCTTCCTTCACTGTGATGTCACAATGAAAACGCGTCATAAAGCTTTCCAAGCAGCTAGAGGGGTCAGGCATGCCCTCAAACCAAGCTAGTCTAAGCGGAGGCCCTTTGATTTTAATTAAGACCCTTTTCCACTGCACAGTACCAGCTCGACTTGGCCCAACTCGCCTTTGTTTGGTTTTCCATTGTAGAAATGTTGTACCTGTACCTACTTCCAGGTACTTTTTTTCGCATCACCTCACCTCCGTTGACGTTCCAAGCGAGCTGAGGGATACTAAAATTTAACCTCAGAGAAAATATTCACTATTCACTGCATCATCATTGCGTGCACCAGACAGATGCCAGCAACAGAAAGTTTTATATTTTACAGTTTTCGTATGTAATTTCATCACTAAATCCACTTCTGATTAGTTTTGAGGTGAGAAATCAACTGTGTAGATTTCGAATATTGACAGTTTTACGAGAAGTGATGGCGGAACAAAAATGTGCTTGAACATTTTCATAGTTGAGGAGCTCCGCAAGTGGCTGCGGGGGATGCCTGTGCTGGAAGGTATTCATATGTTGAAACGTTTTAACTTAGCTGTGCGGATCGCTGGTGTGTGTGTCGCATTGAACATTACGTTGTGGCAGTTGTGTGTGGCGTCGCTATGACGACAAGCTACGTACTATCTCTGGGTACTATCTGCAATGGTAAACGGAGCAGGGCCGAGCAGAGTCGAGTCTATCGATTTGTGCTATGGTAGCATTTTTCGGCAAGGCAGCATAGATCGTCAGAACACCGGCAACAGTTTAACGTTTAGTCCTAAAAAACGATGCAACTCCGACTCTGTTTGGTCCTGGAAATTCACAATCACAACCTGTAAATATGCTTTATTGGTTGTGAATTATATTTAAAGTAAACACAGCAATATAACTTCACAGACAGTGAAAAGTGCTGAGTTGTAAACGTTGGCTTACACAGCAAAAGTTATAGCTATAATGCTAACGTTATACCCGATGTGAAAGCTACTGAGCAAACGTTCAAATTGTTTGGCCAATTTATATGTAAATTGAGTTGAAATATGGTGATTTTTGTTGTGGTTTATGGTAAAATGTGGAACAATGATGTGTGGTTGTGGACTTGTGAGTAACTTATACCATCTGCTAGATTACGGTCGCAGTCTGAAGCAGTTTTGATTTGGATCACACTACCTTGTTTCTTACGACGCCCTTCTCTGCTTCTGATTGGCTAGTAGTCATTACCTGGGAACTGCGCATGTGCAACTCCCAACAAAGATTTTGTACAAGTAAGATGCATCACTGCTTAGCTCAAGAGCGAAGCGTACAACACATAGGGTGAAAAGAGGAGCTGCAGCAATGTGCAGTATGACAAACATATGGTGTTTTTTAAAAATTAAACCATAATACCACCTCTTTAAGTAGAAAGTCCATGATCTATCAGCAAAAAACACATCTGCATCAAGCTACCAGCTAAAGGTGCATTCACACTGAAAGCGCCTTAATATTCGCCTAGCTTTTTTTGTTTTTCGCCTTTTTTTTTAAAAACCTTTTTCGTTTTCTGAATGGAGTTTGGATTGATCAGGGCTATGCTATGCTAACCTGTTTACAGTAAAGTACAACGATAGCTAGAATAAAGTTACAGACACACAGGTTTGGACAATCTCACCGCTGATTGGCTTTTGCAACATCGGGTCAAGCGAATTTCTCGCCAAAGTTGAAAAATTTTAACTCGCGCCAACCAGTGATTTCTGTGACAAATGCCTCATTCGCCCCTGCCCGGAGCGAATTCTCAGGAATTTGCGTCTTTGCATTGACTTTGTATGTAATCAAGCTGCCCAAAATGCTGTATTTGCTTTCAGTGTGAACCCACCTTAATACGGAGCGATGCAGCAGCAGCCACCTGCTGCAAAGAGGCGGTGCTGTTTTAGAAAAAATAAGGTAAGACATATGCTTAGAAAAACCTGTGTTCATGGTATTGGTATGAAATTTAAACTTGGGCTAGGTAAGGCTTTATGCCGTGGTCCTACAGTGTTTTCCAGCTACCAAGTCCCACCTATAGTTGTCTGCATGCATTTGTTAGCAAGCATTTTCAAGCGGAAATGAAAAATATATTATTTTTAGTGTGTTTAAACTTATATTAATCAATTCCAGTAGCACATACAATCATTCTGACTCTCACACTCCAGATTGTTATCTTTCAGAGAAGCCCAAAACCATGCATATACTTCAAATGGTTCAAGAACTACATTCAGTTTACTTTGAATATGCCTTCAATAGGCGTTTTGCATGAATTTTACAGGAATCATACAGGTATGCCACTATTATAGTTTCAATTTGCAGTGTGTATGGTGTGGTATGATATGGCAAGTATATCGTGTCCTCAAAAAATTGAAAAGGTCTCTTGAGAAGCTCCCGCTAATTGTCTTGTTTACTGCTGGATTGTGAGGTCAAACAGACCAAAATATCGTAAATGAATAAACATTCCAACTGTAAGTGAGACAGTATGCAGGAGTTTTCTCATGATATGTTGTGTTACCTGCTGAGGCCTGTATGTTATTCACATTAAAGTCTGCTGTGTGGGAATAAACTCACAGGTTTCTGGCTGCAGGTGAGTTGCTGAGCATTCCCTGATGTCTCAGTGAAGGTGCCCACAGGAGACTGGCCCCCCACCTCTCTAGCCTCCAACAAGAAACCAATGAATGGTGTGGAGGCTGGAGCCTGGAGCAGAACTGAGAAAAAAACAAACATTCCTGCTCAGTGTTCACAAGAAAGCGCTACTGACAATGAATACTGATATTATGGGACCCTTATTTAACATTTAGCATTTTACATGCTTCAGTTGTTTTCATGATCAATTAAATATTATACTGTTTATTTAAATAATATTTTTTTTCTGTCTACAAAATGTCAAAACATGCAGTAAATGCGCAGAGCTCAATGGGACATCTACAATTGTCAACAGTGCAGAAACTAAATTATTCAGTTTAGGATGGAATCATGGAGGATGGAACCAAAAAATGCTTTGGTTTGTACTTGATAAATGCTGTAAAAATATGTATATATTATCAAAATTGTTAATTGTTAATTATTTATCATCTAAACAATTCATCAGCTAATTGTTTGTATTTAAGTAATCTGTCATAGTGAACATATCCTCTAAATTGATTTTTTAATCATGTGGATGGAGTGAAAACGTTTTAAAATAAGGAACAGTTGGCTGGGTGTATTTTTAGCTACTTCCTGTTTTAGTTTGTAGTTTTGTCTGCCCCTAGTGTTTCTTGTTTTCATGGGCGTCACTTTGTGTTGAAAAGTGGTGGGGACATAAGGGCTCAGATTAGGGGTGTGATGATACATTTGGGTAACAAGACATGACGATGCACAAGAACAAGAGGAGAAGATTTTTAACAGTATTTTGAAGAAACATCCATCCCTCGTCAACCAATTATCCTGCGTACAGCGTCGCAGAGGGCTGGTGCCAATCCCAGTTTACCCCGGGGGCGAAAGGCGGGGTACACCCTACAAACTAAAACAGGAAGTAACTAAAAACACACCCAGCCAACTGTTCCTTATTTTTAAAAATAGCCATTGGTTTGCACTACAGGTCGCCAGTCCATCGCAGGGCCACACATAGGCAAACAACCACTCACATTCACACCCAAGGACAATTTTAAAGACACCAATTAACCCAAGGGGGTGTATATAATGATGATAGAGAGTGATCAAGAGGTGAATTTGTGCATTATATCTTAAAGGGGCTATATGTAAGTTTTTGATTTTAATAAATCAAATTGTCATTGCCTTATTGTCAGTGGGCTCAAAACTCACTCAGAAATGCAGCACACGACTGCTTGCCTCCCGAGGCTCTCATGCTACAGCGACAACACGGCAGCTAACGACATTCAGTCCACTAACACCATAAAACAACCGGCTCACAGCAAAACACAGGCTCCATGTAAGGATACAAAACAACAATAAAGGTTTATGTGCTATCAAACCAAACAGGTTCAGATGATGTCGAGTAAGAACAAAGTGAGCATTAGTAAAGCTGCAGAAAGTCACGTTAGCTCACAGGCTAACGCCGAGCAGTTGCTAATGTTATCCGGTGCAAAGTTATATCACGTTAGCTTTCCACATTACTTCACGAACTAACGCCACCCATGTTACTATCACGTGTACCACTGTTGATTTAGCTTGCAAGAAAGTATGAAACGGCAAAAAGCAAATGTGGAGCGATTTGTTTACTAACGTTAGCCTATAGTGATGCAGCCAGGAGCAGCCAGCTAACGCTCGGCTAAATGCAGTAAATGTACCGTGATCATGTAAGGAGCATGGATTAGTTCAACCTGCAGCTGATAAAACTATTACTGTAATGTTGCAGTGGGAGTTTACCTGAGTTTCCAGCTCTGTTTGTTCTCCCTGTCTGTCTATAGCCGCTGTCACTCTGCCTTTATTCGGGAGGATTGTGCCGATATACAGCTCGCTGCGCTGAATGAAGTGACATTATGGTGCTGGTGTTGTTCTGCCTCTGAGACGGGAACATTGAAATAACAGACCCTGAACATTTCTGAGTGAAAAGCCACAGCCTGCATGCAGGTGTTTCTGGGTTTATTGCAGGATTTCTGTATGACAGTGGTTGTGTTTTGGATTATGCTTGCTCATGACTTCAAGCTAGCACGCGTACGAGCACACACCTGTAGAGGTCGACCGATATGGTTTTTTTCACGCCGATGTCGATACCGATCTTTTGAAATCCGGGTCGGCCGATGGCCGATATTTGCTTGGTTTTTAACCTCTATTTGCACCGAACTGAAGCACAGAAATCCGCGTTGATATTCGGTGTGGTAGATAACGGGCGTTAAGGTTCCAGTGCCGTATTAGCACTGGGTCTGTCTGTAGCTACCCGTTAGCAAAGCAAAGCCAGTCTGTTACTAGCCTATAGTGCGTTGGTCTCTTTTTTATTACTTATTTCTCTGCATTGAGTGACAACCCTCTCAAATATAAGACACACAAACAGAACAAATAAAAGTCTCAGATTAACTTACTTATTGTGACATGATCGCAACTCTTCTGTGATAATGCAACTTCAACTACGATCCAAATTAGCCAAATGTCATGTGTCTTATTCAGGTTTTTTCTCGAAGTTGGCAGTAACATATCAAAAGTTTTTAATTAAATATAAAGGAGTAATAAGAATTGAATCCTTACCGTTAGCTCCTTAGGCACTGGATAAGGTCTGCTGCTCACTTGGCTGGAAAATGACTCTAGCGGCAGCGCGCGTCAAACACGTGTTCCACGACAACACTAGGCTGCCCACAGATGCGCCTGTCTAATAATCGGCTTGATATACTTGGATATTTGCCGATGCCGATTATGTTAAAAAATGCCAAAAATCGGCCGATTAATCGTCCGACCGATTAATCGGTCGACCTCTACACACCTGGTTGCAACCTTAGAACCGCACCGCTAGCGGCCGCTGGAAACTCCATAATGCCCCTTTAATTGACATTATACTATGTCAATTAAAGCAAGCCAGGCAGCCTTCCGTGTTTGAGAACGGCGCTGTTTTTTAATAATCGCCCACTAGAGAGCTGCAGTGCCACAATAACCAGCCTAGTTCAAATGAACAAAATGACTCAAAAAAGTATTAGTTAATTTTAATGAACGTGACCCCGAGCTTCTCTTCTCTCCTGTCTCTCTCCGCTGACAGAGTTTAGCAGGCAGGCGGGAATGGGAACAGGTGAGTTTCACGTAGCGCCCAGAAAACCTGATACGGAGAGGACAGAGGAGAGTACCGGCAGCTTGGGAGAAGTCCCAGTACGCCAAAGAGAAAAATGTCGAGGTGCCGGTACTGCATACTGCCACCACTTCAAGCACTGGGAAAGTCAGAAAATATGTATGTTTATTTATTTCGGTAGACTGATCCTTAGAGAGAACACATTAGTTGTTTTTAAGAAACATTTGTCCCCTAGTGCTTTAAGTTGTTAGTGCCATCCACTTCAGGATTAATATAGCTGAATGAGCATATAATAGCTGCATTATACTAATTCCAGGTTAAGAGAAGCCTGATACTTACCTTTCACCTGCTCTCTGAGGCTGTAGCTGCTGCGGTCGGTAGTGACGGTGAAGGCTGGAGCTTTTGTCTGTGGGCTCAGCCCAGAATGGTGGGGTCGCATGTCTTGACAGCTGTCTGTTACTAGACCTGAGCCATAGCCCTGGACCACCGGAGCAACACACACCAGCAGCAACACAACACAGTCCATTGCAATGAAGTGATGAATGAAAATCCGCGAGTGAATGAAACTGTAAAACTGCGTCAGCTCTACTCATAAATACAGTTATTGAAAAACAGAGTCATACGATACTGTTGTTCAGCTGAGTGGGACTCAGGTGTCTGTGGAAACTGAAGGAAGGAGGGGTGTATAGAGCACTGGTTGGAGGCTACAGGTATAGACATGTATACCTGCTTAATTCCCTTCCCATAGTAACAGGAAAGGCAGGTGGAGGGTTGGACATTCGAGTCTCTTTGAGTGTGTGCGTGTGCGTGTGTGTGGGCATACATGAGAGAGAAAGAGAGCAGTGTATGCAGTCTCTGATGTAGCTAGGTGGTGATCATGAGACGATGACAAAGCAAATTTACATTTAAAGAGCAGATGTGGAATTCATGGCTGTTACAGCTAAACCTTGTCCTATTTCTTGTAACTAAATCCAACGGCTCCAGCCATTAGACATGTGGTACTGTTGCCTCATGCAGATAAGCTGGCTATGAGGTTTTATTTACTATTTATTTATTTATTTAATGTTTATTTATTAGCATTTCAAAGTTTTGCATATTGTTTCAGAGTCAAAGCCAACCCATGTCTGATTCCCACACCAATGATCTGGCTGACCATTTCAATCAGATTTGCTAGTCCTCATTACATTATTGCTCCTCTAAAGGTTAGGCCTAAGTCTACATCTAGTAAGCAGCCCTGGATAAACGACAGCAATCCAATCCAATCCACTTTATTTATATAGCACAATTTCAAAAACAACAAGGTTACCAAAGTGCTTTACAGAGATGAAATAAAATATGTTCATGATAAATAAAAACAAAACAAATAACATCAACAATGACAGCGACAATGAAGAGCACAGCAGCTCTCATGGTGAGTTGAAAGCCAGGGAATAAAAATATGTTTTTAAACAAGATTTAAAGGTGTGGAGGGTGGGCGCCACTTTAATGTAAGGAGGTAAATCATTCCACAGTTTGGGGGCAACTGCTGAAAAAGAGCGGTCGCCCCTGGTCTTCAGCCTGGTCCTGGGCACGTTCAGCCGCAGCTGATCAGCAGACCTCAGTGACCTTGATGTGGTGTAAGTGCGCAGGAGCACAGAGATGTACTGAGGTGCCAACCCATTAAGTGAAAACAAACTCCACAGAGAAGGGGAGTGGTAGATGACGCAAAGTCACCAAGTTTTACAGAAAAACATTGCTCAGATAAATATGATCTGAACCACTGCAGGGCAGTATCTCGGATGCCCACACAGTGCTCTAGGCGAGAGATGAGAATGGCGTGTCAAAAGCAGCAGTAAGGTCTAAAAGCACAAGAATAGCAGAGTCACCATGTTCTGTAGTTAGTAAAAGATCATTAAAAACTCTTAAAAGTGCAGTCTCGGTACTATTAAAAGCTTTTAAACCAGATTGAAAAGTTTCTAAAATACCATTTACCAATACCAAGGATTGTAGTTGTGCAAATACAGTTTTCGCAGCTTTAAAAGGGAATGCACATATATACAGATAGAAAAAAATACAGCCTCCAAGTCCTTTATCTAAGTATGAAGGAATCATTATTAAACTACAAGAACATAGTTAAGGATGCGAGAGCACACTATTTAACTCATTACCACACATCAACATAAAGAGTTCACTGATTCAGTCGTCCTAATTTCCTCAGGTAGATTGTTCCAGAGCCTCGGTGCCCTAACTGCAAAGGCTCTGTCCCCTCTCATTTTCAGCTGGGTCACTGGAACAAATAAAAGCTCCTTACCCAATGATCTCAAGAAAAGAAGAAATAAAATTGAAAATGGTCTCAGTATCTTTAAAAGTTAAAAAGGGTCGGATTTTAGAAATGTTTCTAATAATAATAATAATATTCCTTATTTGTAGAGCACTTTTCAAAAACAAGTTACAAAGTGCTTTAACAAGTGTAAAGACAATAATACCCAAGAGACAATAATACAAAAAACAATACAAGATAAAAGCATGAAAACATTGAAAAGACTAAAATACAGATAAATATAAAATTAGTAAAATACAATAAAATAAAAGGGATCAAATAAAGTCAAATAAGATCGGGAAAGGCTCTCCTATAAAAGTATGTTTTAAGAAGGGACTTAAAAGAGTTCACTGACTCAGCTGACCTGATTTCCTCGGGCAGGCTGTTCCAGAGCCTCGGGGCCCTGACAGCAAACGCTCTGTCCCCTTTAGTTTTCAGTCGAGACTCTGGAACAGACAACAGACCTCTGCCCGAGGATCTCAAGGTACGTGCTGGTGTGTATGGGACTAAAAGGTCAGAAATATAACAAGAGGCCATGAAGAGCTTTAAAAGTGATCAATAGAATTTTAAAGTCAATTCTAAAACATACTGGGAGCCAGTGTAATGAAGCTAAAATAGGAGTAATGTGGTCATATTTCTTTGTTCTGGTTAAAAGCCTGGCAGCTGAGTTCTGGACAGTCTGGAGTCGATCAATAGATTTTTGGGTTAAACGGGTGAAAAGGCTGTTGCAATAATCCAGGCGTGATGAGATGAAGGCGTGTAAAATGGTCTCGGTGTCCTTAAAGGTTAACATAGATCGAATTTTAGCTATATTTCTAAGTTGATAAAAACATGATTGAACAAGCTTTGTAGTGTGCTGCTCGATATTTAAATTACTATCAAACCAAACACCAAGGTTCTTTGCCACAGGCTTAATGTGATTTACTAGCGAACCAGCAGATGGCAGTATTTGATTTGCCATCTGCTGGGACCCGATGACCAGGATTTCTGTTTTGTCCGAGTTCAGCTGGAGGAAATTATTTGACATCCATTTTTTAACTTCACAAAGGCAGTTGTTAAGTGAACTCAGCATTCCAGGGTCTGTGGATCTGACGGGCAAGTATATTTGTGTGTCATCAGCATAAATATGAAAAGAAATGCCATGTTTATGGATAATATGTCCAAGGGGAAGCAGATACAAGGAAAACAAAATGGGTCCTAAGACCGACCCCTGAGGCACACCATATTTAACTGGACAGAACGAGGAGACATAGTTGTTTAGAGACACGCAAAACTTCCGATTTGACAGGTAGGATGAAAACCATTCTAGGACAGTACCAGAGATCCCCACCCAGTGCCTCAGTCTGTCTAACATGATGTTGTGATCAATGGTGTCAAAAGCAGCGCTAAGGTCCAGGAGTACCAGGACTGAGCACATGCCTTCATCAGCAGACATTAAAAGGTCATTGGTGACTTTAAGCAGGGCAGTATCAGTGCTGTGGTACTTCCTAAAACCAGACTGAAACTTTTCAAATATTTTGTTATTTTCCAGTACAGTGAGAAGCTGTTTGGACACAATTCTTTCTAGAATCTTTGCAATAAAAGGCAGTTTTGAAACTGGTCTAAAATTATGTGGGAGGGAGGGATCTAAACCAGGTTTCTTTAAAAGTGGGTTCACGCAAGCCGTTTTAAAATAATCAGGGACACAACCAGTAGATAGGGAGCTGTTAAAAACAGAGATCAAATGGGGCCCAACAGAATCTATTACTTTCAGTAAAAATTTAGTAGGTATTACATCAAGTGGGCTGGAGGACACTCTCATCTGTGTTACTGTTTTCAAAAGCTCAGACAAGTCGATGGGATAAAACTGGTTAAAACTCTCTTGTTGCTGGTGAGGAACCTCACCTCAGTAAGAGGCCGCGGGGGGAATAGAGGCTCTGATTGACACCACCTTATTGGTAAAATAAGATAAAAACAATTCACAGTCATCATTACTTCCAGCTGAGGCATAAGGAGGGGTTGGGTTTACCAGCTGATCCACAGTCTTTTAGAAAAATAGTGTGTTCTCGCATCCTTAACCATGTTATTGTAGTTAATTAATAAATCCTTCAGACTGAGGTAATGGACTTGGAGACTGGATTTTTTCCATATGCGCTCTGCTTTCCTGCATTCCCTTTTTAGGCTGCGAATGCTGTCATTTATCCAGGGTTGCTTACTAGCTTTAGACGTAGGCCTAACCTTTAGAGGAGCAGTAATATTTAGTGACGACAAGCAGATATGATTGAAGTGATCGACCAGATTGTTGGTGTTGGAATCAGACAGGTGTTGGCTTTGGCTCTGAAAGAATGCGCAAAACTTTGAAACACTTTGTTCATTAAAGAAGCGAGAACACACGGAGCTTTTATCATCTAAGATGACTCTTTTATGTTTACCTTAATGACACACAGATCTACTTGCCCGTCAGATCCACAGACCCTAGAAAGCTGAGTTCACTTACTGAATGTGTTCTTGCTGGTATTGTGCAACACCCTCAGCACAAAGGCGGCCTCCCCCTCTCACTGACAACTACATTCCGTGACACGCACACACATATACACTTACAAACACACACACATGCCTACACACACATACACACGCCTACACCCATGCTCTGTGTTGTTTTGTTTTTTCTGCTTATCTGTTTTTCTCCCGCAGTTGTTTTCCTTTCAGTGCTCTTTGTTGCTGTTGTTCTGCTGGTTATCTCTTATTTCCCCCACTATACCCTGCCATAGTTTCATAAGGACCTGAAAATATTTTTATTTAGAAAACATCTTGCTGAAAAAAGTCAGATACCTGAAGCTAGAGAAACAGTGAAAAGTGTGAATGTGTGTAGACACCCTTCCTGAAATTATTTCATTCAGAAATGGGGTTTGCACTCACTACCATTTATATTTGTGGTTGTAATGTGGTGGTTGTAATACCATTCATAACTGAGACTTTCCCTTTTTATAATGCCACAGGTCCTCATGACGACAACGGAAGCCTTTTCTCTTTTTTTTTAATGTTGTGGTCTATGTTGAATGAGGTGAACTTGTAAACTTTTTACTTTCTTTTGTGAAAGTCATTGAACATTACCAAAGTAGCCACAACATAATTTGAGATAGCGTAGGTGCATGGGGTGGCCAACCCAGGGCCCCGGCTGGTAGTGGGCCCCCTACCTGCGCCATAAAGTTTAGCTCAGTTGATTGTTATGGACACGGACAAACAATGCTGCACGCAGCTCCGCTGTGTGGGGAAAATTCAGCAGCTCTTTCAAATGAAACAGTGTCTTCACTCCTGGTTTCAATGGTAAACAACCACAAGAATGACAATTGAAGTAACATTTGTGTTACAAACAAATGGCAAACTTATTAGTGCATCTTACAATATTATATAGCTGCAGTACCGGAAGCTGCAGTTTCAGGACCC